CGTCCACTTCTCTGAGCCGAGCGCCTTCATCAGGGTCACAGACAGGGGCGAAGGGCATCATGAGCACTTCGCAACACGGCTGTTATGGTTGTTGGGCGCAGGCAGTCGTTTCCTGCAGGAGTATTCTCGCCATGCGGAGATGCTCAAGAACCACATGCGCTTCGTGCCACACTACCGCATCGTGTCCTTCCCTCTACAGTTCGAAGACCTCTGCTACGACCCTACCTTCACGCCAGGCACAGCGAAGAAGACCCTCTTCTGCGTAGACGATCCCGACGCCCCAACCGGGCCCATCACTGGCGAACTGGTCACAGCCAACACCACACACGGAGAGATAAAGCAACAACCATCCTCTTCTGTGTGTGTGTGTTTCTGTGTGGTTACAGGTGGTGAGGGAGACTCTGCGTCAGCTGTGTCTGTACAAGATGACAGCCACTCCAATGCCCGGCCACACTGGTTCGCTCTTTAGCGATGCATATTGGCGATATGTGGAGGCCTTCGCCGAGCGGTGCTCCATCCAGGCACACACATCAGAGAACGGCCTCCCGCCCTTCTCTGATATGTGCGCCGACGCGATCATCGACGAGCTCTATCGTGACGCCATTATCGACAGTCGGCAGATGTCAAGGCAGGACATTCAGGACTGTATGGAGGGGCAGAAGGGGCACGAGATCCTCTCCAACGAGCTCTCCAGCATGGCATGGAGTGTGCACACAATCAGAATCAATGGCTGGAGGTCGGTGAAAGGACAAAAACCCATGGGAGGCACACACAGTGTGTGTGTGTATTTGAGTGTTTAGGTATGCCGGCATGGTTGAGGCTGATGCGGTGACAAAGGCCGTATGCGAACAATTCGCCGACCAGCCGCCAGCATGCAAAATACTGCTCAAGTGAGCGAATTACCAGCACACACACACACACACACACATTGCCACGAGCTAGTAATGCTCACTGCTCGCTGCATGTTGTCATACGCACGCAGGAAGACAGAGTGCGAAGAGATGGCGGCAAAGAATGACGCACCCTGTCCGCTGTATGGATAGGCAGCGATGGCATTCATTTAATTTGTGTCTTTGTTGAAATGAGTCTTTTCGCTGGCTGCTTCATATATGAAACGATTTGCTCTGTCAGTGGCTTTGGGGTGGTCCTACTCTGGCCTTGGTGTGATAGTGCGCTGGTCTGTCGGGTATGTGTATGTTTTCATCAAACGACTGATCGAGCAACTTATACTGTTTTCTTCAATCAAACGACCTGAGCTTAGCTCGTGAAAGTGAATGATGATCACACTGTGCCTAATTACCCGTCGTCCCTGACCTGCAGCAGTGCATTTGCGAGCAGCGGGTCGCGCGAGCCGAGGGTCCTGAGATGGTGAGTGAAGCATTGGGGTGGGAAGAGGTAAGGCTTGCTGTGTATGTGTCTGGCAGGCCATTCGCTCTACGCACAGTGAGAGGCAGAGAAGAGGCTTTTCTGGGCAGATCTGATCTGGGGAGATGGTCTGATGCATACACGCTTCGTGTGTTCATGTGCGGTGCGTCGCCGTGGTTGTATGCGTGTCTGAACGAATGAATGACTGGTTGGTGGGGAGAACTTTTTAAAGGGGATGGATGGATGGATGGATGCACTGCACGGACGACAGATGGTCGCAGCATGCAGCACCTCAACAAACACGTCGTTTGCTCAGAGATGAATGAATAAATAGACAGACAGACAGACAGACAGACAGACAGGTGTATTCACCTGCCGGTATGCGTACTGCAAATTGTGTCCGTATACAGCAGAAACTTCCATAAGCTTTCGCGGCTGTTTGTCTGATCAGTGTTGTCAAGTCGGGAGGCACCCCTTATCTGACTCGTGCAACGCTCTACCACGCCAATGCGTCAATTGCCATTGCTAATGGGGGACACATCCACTCCAGACCTGCGCCAGCTGCTTGAATCCTTTCCGTGCATGAGTTCAATCACCTCGAATCGTCAAAAAGCTCGCTGTCCCGAAACGGGACTTCCGTGAGTGGAGCATCATGACACTCATTCCGGCATTCCTCAGCTGCCCAATCACACTGACACAAAGCGATGCCGCAGAGGATCTGAAAGCCGGTGACTGAGCTTCTCTGGTCGTTGCTTCTCTCGTCGTCCGCGCAGGGAGGCTTAGCGCTGATGGAAGAGCACCAGGAAGAGCAGGAGGCTCCTCTCCTACCGGGTCAGCAGACAAGGAAAGATGCCTTTCGTCGTGTCCATCGTGCGGCGTTTGCAGGTGCTGAGGCAGCCCATCTTCTGACACTGCAGGAGCATGCTACGGTCGTCGCTCAGTCGCTGCACGCAGATGGGCAAATCGATGGACATGATCCGCCACAGGTGAGCATGCCAAATGAAGGAATGAATGCCTCAAGATGATCTGATCATCCTTCTGTTGCCCTTCTGTTGCTTCTGCGTCAGCCATCGGTCCATCATTTTTCACTTCAGCCAGCCGACGAATGGCCCTTTAGCCATCCACCGGCTCTCCCTCTATCTCCCCCATTTCTCCCCCCTGCCGAGCATCCCCACCTCTCATCGAACATGACGCCCCGTTCTTACGCCCTGGTCCCATTCTTCTCGTCGGACGAGCAGCAGCCGAGCGGTGCGAGTGAAGCACTGTGTGACTTTGACCATGTGACTGACGGCACTGCCCAGATGGTGACCACACAGACAAGCAGCGATGCTACTGCACAGAGGGATGCTACAAATAGACTGCCTCACCGATTGTCTGTGCTCTCTTCTTTTTGGTGCAGCAAGCAGCAGCGGACCAGCAGGGTGCACCTGCACAAGAGGCTCCTCCATCTGGTCAGCAGACAAGAATGCACGCACCCAGACATGCTGTTTCATCGCGTCCATCGTGCTGTCGTTTGCAGGTGGTCAGCCTCTGGCCTACAGCTGGAGCGAGGACAATTCAGTGCAGCGAGCCGCTCCAGCCATCAGCGACTCGCTGCACCCAGATGGGCGCACCGATGGGCTTGGTCTACCACAGGTAAGCAGAGAAGATAACGCGTGCATCCATTGATTTCATCCCTTTGTCGCGTGCCTGTCTGTTTCGTTCAGCCATCGGGCCATCATTTATCACCACCAGTGGAGGCTCACCCATCAGCAGTCCAATGGCCCTTCGGTCATCCCGCCGCTCTTCCCCCTTTCATCCCACACAACCACCTCGAACCATTCCCTCCTGCCGGCTACCAAGATCCCTCACTTCCCATGCCCCTCCCAGCTCACTCCTCTGACTCTCACTTCCAGCTCCCTCTCATTGACCCACTCATGGCTGGCGCACCTGGCGGTCTACCGCTCTCCACAGAGGGATCGCTGAGGCAGCGAGCGTCATCCCTCCCACCCCCACGGACACACAAGGCGGCGCCTGAAGTGACGCTCGCCGAGAGAGAGGCGCTGCTGGCCGACTTCGAGAGGCGCAAGGAGCAGGGAGAGGAGCTGACCATGAGGGCATTTGCAGTCGAGAAGGGAATCACTCTCAGCCAGTTCAAGCACTGGTACTATCGGTCAAAAGGGGGGGCACATCATGAGGCGGCGGACAAGACAAAGAAGCGCACCAGGAAGTCGCCCTATCAGCCGATCGAAGACGAGATACGCCAATGGCTGGTTGGCCATGATGATCCGACTAGCATCTCCGTGGAGCACATGCGCCGCACGGCACTGGAGATTGCGCAGCGGCTGGGCATCAGTGGCTTCAAGGCGAGCGATAGGTGGATCAGTGATGTGAAGAAAAGATACAAGCAGGTGGGACAGAGGGCACACAAGCGGGGGACGAGTGGACGATGGATTGCACGTCTGTCGCCTTTGCCTGTCGTCCAGACTGTTGCTTCCACCGATCAGACTTCCCCCGCTGCTGCTGCTGATGCTGCTGCCGCAAGTGCCGTCCCACCTCCCTCGATCTACACCAACGGCATGACGGGCGACCAAGACTGCGACGCGTTCCCGCAAGAAGGAACGCACAGACTGCGCGGAGCTGACGCATCGAAGTACACGCAAGGGGCATTGAACCAGACCGATCAGGTGACAAGCAATCGACACATCACGCCCATCTTCTTATGTTCTAGCCACATCTTTTGTGCTGTTGGCAGAGCCGCGAAGGAGGGCAATTTGTGTCGGCTGCCGCCGCGGCGTCTTCTCATCCCCCTCATTCCCTTCCCTCTACACTTACCCACCGGCCGGAGCTGCACATGCCAGCTGCAGCAGCTGCCGCGGCTCTCCCTGCACCTACCTACTCATCGGCAGGTGGACACATGGATGCTGCAGCGGCCGCGGCAGCGGCTCTCGCTTTCCAGATGCATCCACCCCACACACCTTCCCTACCTATTCCCGTCCCTCACCAGTCACCACAGAGGGAGCTTTCCGACGTGAAGGGACTGAGCAGACCGGTTCGCAACACGCGCCCGTATGGTGCTTCAGCGACATGTGTTTCTCTTCTCGCAGAGCACTGAGTCTGTTGCAGCCCCGCCATCAAGCCGCGAGGGACTGAGCGATCAGCAGGTACGACATCAGACGATGCACCCAGCCCGTGAATGTATGTCGTGCGCTGTGTTGCAGGGCCAAGTGGCTGACGAGTCAGCTGCGGTGCGAATGGCGGATGGCTTCATCGGCCGTCGTCATAACGATTGGGTGACTCATCGGCGGTTGAGCGTGCAGAACCCACCGGCTGCTGACGGCGATCGAAGGCTGCACCAGCAATCGCAGTACTCGAGACAAGAGGCTCATGTGCCTGCCGCAGCTGCTGTCGCCAGTACCCATCCCCATTTTCCAGTGCAGCCGCCCCACTCCCATCCCTTACCCAGGCCCCTCACCCACCCGTTGGAAGCAGCTCCGGCTGCCGCTGCTGCAAGTCGGGAGGCGGATGGGTTCATCGGACCGACGACCGACCTCAGCCGACAGGTAACACACTAATCCTGACACCACGGCGACAACTGAGGCCTTTTGTCTGCCTGTCTGTCTGTCTGTCTTGACTTGGCTGGCTTCAGACCACCACCTGCCCACCAGACGACGATGCTGCTGTCAGCGATCGGCCGCTCGACGAGCAATCGCAGCATTCGGGGCAAAAAACCATGAGCGTAAGCCAACCAACAGGGCTCACTAATCTGTTCAACAAAGCAGCATATTTCGGCTGTCTGTGTTGTCGTTCAGATTTTTCAGTCTGGGAGTCGACTGACCAACGAGAGGCCGCCAAACAAGATCCAAAAGGCTCCCACACGCAGCCACCGAGAGGGCCCGCCGTCTGTGGTGAGTGAAACGCCATGAAATAAACATCCACACAGACGGGGAGGCATCGTGCTGTTGTGTGTGCAGGTGCTGTCCCGTTCATCGGCCAAGTCTGTGTTGACAATGACTGCCGACGATCGCCTCAGTGACATACCAGAGGTCAGACACACACAAGGAGGCCAATTGAGAGCATTAGGACGCGTCTGGCTCTCTATGCTGTGCGATTAGGATGACGATGGTGACGCGATTAACGTGTCTGACGATGCGAGTAGTTATGTCACGGCCCTCTCAAGTCGCAGCACGACTGACGGGGACGACCGATCGCCCGACCGCCAGGTGAGAATGCCCATGGGGTGATTGCAGCATCACCACGATTGTCCTCACCTCCCTCTCTGTGTGTGCAGGTGGTCACTGGCAGCAGTCTGACTTCGACTGAGTGTGCGGCCCTCCGCCCCGTTTTGGCGCTCGGCATGTTGGACGAATGTGAATTGACTCTGCTGTACAGGTGCGACGCACAAACCACATCACAGACACTGCAGTCAATCATGTGCCCTTCGCTGTTGTCTCTGATGTTCTCAGGGCGTCGCGTGACGGCGCAGAGTATGGCGATTTGCTGCGCTGTGTGGGCGACGCGCAGCAGCTGGTGTTCGTCATCCGCAAGGACAAGTACGTCTTCGGCGCCTTCATCAGTGCCAACATCCTAGTGCCCGATCACCCAAGAGGCATGAACCGCTACCTTTGTGATGGGTGGGATTTCTCGCTGGCCGGCCACTTCCCCAGACCGACCAAGGTCGGGGAAGGCCTGGCCGGGCAGATGTGGGGGGACCGGCTGCCAGTGGGTGGGGCGAAGCTGTGGATCGGTGCGATCGGTGGGTGGCTGGAGTTGGGCTGTGAGGGTGGCGTTGCTGCTGATATGCGCAGCTGCCGTCATATCATCAGCAGCCATCGTGTGCTTGAGGGCTATGTGGGGGTGAGGGATGAGTATGGCCGTGCTCTGTTTGGGGGCAGTGAGGAGTTTATGGCCGATGAAGTGGAGGTCATTCGTGTCGACGGTCGGTCACTGCTCTCACTCAAGGTCACACACACGTCAGCGAGAGAGAGCCGCATCGACGCCCTGTTGATTTGATTGCAGGTGATCGAGGGTGCGAATTTTGATCCGCTCCACTCTGCCGCACTCTATCGGTTCCTCGGACTGACAACTGGAAACACACTGAAGCTCATCTACAGGTGTCATAAATCGTCCATCGTTTGACTCTCTCTCTCTCGTCTTCCTTCTCTTTTCAGGGCTTCCCGTGACGGGCCATTATACGCCGATCTGCTGCGGTGTGTTGGCGATGCGAATAGCCTGGTGTTCGTTGTCAGCAAGGACAAGTACGTCTTCGGCGTCTTCATCAGTGAGGTCATCCGGCTGCCCGACTACAACGACTACGGCTGCGATGTGTGGCACTTCTCGCTGGCCGGCCACTTCCACAAGCCCACCAAGATAGAGGAGGGGAAAGGTAGAGTGTGGGTGGCAGGGCGGGGGGGGACACTTTTTCGGGCGAAGCTGGTGATCAGTGGGAATGGGTGGCTGGAGTTGGGCTCTGAGGATGGCTCTGCTGCTGACATGCGCAGCTGCCGTCAGTGGATCCACAGCTGGGATGTGCCTCAGGGCTATGTGGGGGTGAGGGATGAGGGTGGCCGTGCTCTGTTTGGGGGCAGCAGGGAGTTGTCATGGCTGATGAAGTGGAAGTGCTCACTGTGGTTTGAGAGGGAGAGAGAGGTCAGATTGACTGAGGACTGCATATGATTACTCAATATGGTACGTTTTGATGGCTGTATGTGTGAAGGTAAACTGCTTTTATCCAGTGTGCTGCGAGACTTTTCACTTTGGCCCTCCGTGCTTGTGCTTTGCTTGTGTGATTGGTCTGGTGCGATGTGGTCTGTCCGCATAGAATACACAGCTGACAGACAGATAGAGTGTGAGACGTCCATCAGATGACAGCCAAATGGCGTTTTGTGTACGTATGTGTGCGTGTGTGTGTGTGTGCGCGTCCGTGTATGTGTAGTCATCCGATGTGACATCGGGGACGTTTAAGGACACGCAAGTCTCATCGAAAGCATCCATAGAATGAATGAATGGCTGGCTGCATCCAAAAATACTCGTTGTGGCGCTGTGCGGACGAAGTCACCACTGAATGACGACATGGATGGATAAAGAGCACCACCTCACCCACACCAACACACACTCATCCGCCATGCATACACGCAAGAAAGTGAAGTTAAGTCCGCCCAGCAAAGCATCATGTGACATCAAAGAAAACCTCATTGCTATCTTCGGCTTTGTGCGGTTGTTGCCTATCGTCCTCACTGCCGCATGTGTCGTCACTGGGCGGTGCTGCCGCGGGCTCACTAGTGCCATCAGGCCGGCCGGAAGTCTCCCGCTCGAAGATCGTCGGCAGCACCGTCACGCGGCTGCCACTGCGGACCGCTGCACACACACAGGGAGAGAGAGAGGGATGACACCAGCCATGTGTATTTGTGTGTGTAGAGGGAGGGAGTACTCACTTCGGGAGCTTCTGGATGTCTTGGTCTGGTAGGTAAACAGCGACATAGCCCGACGGCGGCCGGGCATCCTGTCGGCCCGAGCACGGAACCGCGCCTCATACCACAAAGAGCCCTCCACCTCCCCCGATGAGCTCTCCCTCCCTCCATCGAGCAAGGGGCCACGTCGACCGAACAGCGGCACCAGCGGCACAGAGAGATCGCTGGCCGACAGCTGCAGCGGCCTTTGGTGGCGCACGGGTGATGACGATAGAGGTACAGTCGGCTGCATCATAGTCGACACTGGCCGGTCTCTCTCTCGGCCGTTGTCGGGGAGGCCGAGGGGCCCATGGGGCGAATGGTCATCGGTTTTGACACCAGCAGGCGGCATCAGAAAGGAGTCCCCCACCGAGCTCTTGTCCTCTCCACTCGTGTGCTGCTGCTGCTGCTGGATGAGGGCCGGGGCCGCCGGGCCAGCCACTGTCGCAGCACCAGCCACAGCGACGGCAGGCTCGGAAGCGGCCTTCTCGGTCAGCGATGCCGTGTCGTCGTCACCGAGCCCACCAATCTCTGATGCAGTGGCTGTTGCACTGGCAGCAAGGCCGTGTGGTGGGTGCTGTGGCGGTGGTGCTGCCGATGGGACGTCTTCACAGAGATAAGGATCTGCACCGTCACCAGCCGCAGCACCAGCAGCAGCAGGGGAGGGAGAGGGGGACGGCGTCATGGTGACCGTGACATCGACATTGACTCTTGGTGGCTGTTGTGGGGCTGCTGGTGGCTGTGGTGGTGGTGGTGCTGATTCTGCTGTCGTTGTGTTGCCGCTGTCGTTGTCGGTGTGCTGCTGTGATGACTGTGCTGGCGGCTGCGACGGGGCGATGAGGCTCTTGAAGGAGAGGAATGGGGGCTTGGTCGAATGCAGCTCGCTGAAGCCCAACACTGACATACCGACACGACACACACAACAAACACGACACACACAACACATGCACTCGTGCGCCCCGTGTGTGTGCCCAGCCGCATACCGGCCACGCCGGGGTCCTCGTCATCGCCCGCAATAACGACCCTTCCCATCAGCTCGCAGCCATCACGCTGACGGAACAACCTACACACACAAAGACAGAGATATAGATCGGTGGATCGGATGGACTCCCTCACTCACCTGATCGCTCGTGAGATGGGACTTTGCGCGCCGGTCGCCTTCAGCAGATCACGCACATCTGCACACATCCACAGACAGACAGACAGACAGACAGCACAGCCATCTCTCTCTCTCTCTCTATGTATGTGTGTGTGCGAATGTCAGACCGTCATGGTGAATCGCGGCGTGCATGGGCATCCCCTCAATGATGATGGGGTTCCACAGCCTCAGCGGCGTCGACACGCTGATCCACTGGCCCTCAACCAGATCCACCACCGCTGTCGCATCAAAATGCGCATCTGAATGGACACACAAACAAATGGATTGTACTTCCCTCTCTCGCTATCCCTGTGTGTGGTGGGCGGGGGAGGATGTGGATGGCTGGACTGACCGACGAGTGTCTGCAGGCGGATTCTAACACGATCGGACTCCTCGACCTTTAGACGGTCCTCTGACACATCCTGAACACACACACGCATTGAGGTATGTTCGGGCTCTTTGGTGGGTGGCTGACCTTGATGTATCCCCGTACGACTCTGCTCTTGGCCGAGGTCTTCATGGCGCCCACCTGGAACCAACGGACCTCGCTGCACTCATGAAGGACAACACGCACACATGGATGGATGTGTATGCAGCAGCCGTTCTGTCCATCGGCTAATGCTGACTGACCCGTCCGGCCTCTCGTAAAGCACCTGACACAGACACACAGAGAGATGGATGGAATGAAGATGTGCGCGCGTGTGTGCCTGTTTACTTACCAGTCTTTCGAAATGGTCGAGCTTCCCTGCACACGAATGGATGGACAACACACACGCGACACACACACAAAGACGAAACACGGCATACGACCGCCATGTGTGTGCCTGCCAGTGGTTCAATCACCCACTCACCGTCAGCACACTGCAGTATCTGGTCCTCCAACTCTTTCCGCAGACTCTCAGGACGCACCTGAACACACACCGACCCAAACACCCACACATACAGGTGCATCCACCCTCTCTCCCTCGCTCTCTGCGGGCGTACGTGGCGCGTCCAGAACTGGTCAAGCGGGGCATTCCTGTCCATCTGTGTCTGTGTCGGTGCTGGCTGCTGTGCCGCTGTTGATGGATGGAGAGGCAGAGGGAGGGGGATTGTCTGCTGTGGATATGTCTGGGTATCAGAGGTGCCCGGGCTGCTGCTCGAGGCGGCCTCGTCCCAAGTCTTGAAGAGGAGGTCTGAGTGGCGGTCGCTGTCACTATCATGCACACACAGACACAGAGAGAGAAGAGATGGCCATACGCTCATTGTTGTGTGTGTCGTTGTGGGTGCACCTGCTGTCGCGGTCTTCATGGGTCATGAAGTACCTTCACACACATCACCACACACAGACAAACAGACGTCCCTCTCTCCCTCTGTGTCTTAGGGTACCGACCAGTAGTAGTGTTGCAGCTGTCTGTCGGCCTCCTCGTTGCTCTTTTCGGCTTCACGCAGAGTCGCCAGCCTACACACACACACACACACGCACACAGAGGGAGAGAGAAAGGCATGCAGACACATGGATGGATGGATCGAACCCCCCAGACACACGTGACTAACCTCCGCTGCACTGTGTCCAAGTCTGCCCTCAGCCTCTCCAGGTCATCCGCACCTTCACCACCGCCACCACCTTCATTCTCAACGCCGCTGCTGCTGCTGAAATAGTTGAACGACTCATTCAGCTCCCTCAGCAGCTCAGTGTTGCCAATGGGCAGGTCGTCATCCGTCGAGTCGGACCGTTTGTCGCGCAGCGCCACGGCAACACTCTTTGAGAGAGAGGGGGGCGGGAGGGGAGGGAGAGGCGGGAGGAGGTGCATCTCTCGGCTGCCTAACTGCTCCAATGCTGCACAGACACGCACAAAGAGAGATAGGGAGAGAGAGTGGCTGTGTGTCTGATTGACTTACGGACCTTCCCTGTGGATCATCGGGACGAAGGAAGCGGCACTCGGACTTGGACTGAGGCTCAGGCTGAGCGAGGCCTGTGAGGCCTGTGAAGGCTGTGCCCTCACACCCACACCCACACCGCCACCCCCTGACACGCCTGAGACGCCTGATGTGCCGGTCCCCTCGTTGCTGCTGCTCCTGGTGTCGTCCACAACGTCCTGAAACAGCTCCTCGTCATCTCCGCCACCCCCACCTTCACCACCATTTGGCACTGGGGCCTCCAATACACCACTAGCAGCAGCAGCAGCAGCAAAGGGCGCCTCCTACACGCACACACACACACAGAGAGAGGGGAGGGGGGGGGAATGAGCCTCCACACACCATGTGTGCCATCCACTTATCCATCATCACCTCTTGCTGCTGCTGTTGCTGCTGCTGCTTCTGCTGCTGTGGTTGGGGAGGCTGTCTCTCCCTCTCCCTGTCCCTCACTTTGTCTTCAGCGCCCGACGAGACCTTCCTCCCAGTGAGTGTCTCCACCACCTTTGTCTGGTAGGCTGACGAGACCGACATGCGTGTGTCCCACTCCCACGCCGAGATGCCCACCTGCACGCATATGGGGAAACGGATGGATAGCGGGCCGCTCGCTGCACGGTTCTCTCCCTCTCTCTCCCTCTCTCTCTCTCTGTGTGTGTGTGTGTTTGCGTGAGGGTAAGGCTGACCATCTCGGCAAAGCGCTCGAGCAGCGTTCGTATCCTGTGCACCTGGATCACTGACACACGCACACACACGGAGAGGGAAATGGCAAGGACGGTGCATATGTGCGCATGGGTGGCTGCACTTGCCTCGTCTCGAGTGGTCGTGTATGGTCAGTTTCCTGCGGAAATCGGCGAAAAGGGCGCGCTTCTCGGTCTCGCGCAGCAGCCTCTCCCTCTCCTACACACACGCAGCAGCATCGTTGAGAGGATACACACTCACACACGTGTGTGTGGTGTTGTTTGCTTAGTGTCCTACTCGCAGGCGTGAGAGCAGCATGAGCTCAGCTTCCAGCTGCCGGACGTCCCACTCCTACACACACACATCCACCAGACACAGAGATAGAGAGACGGCAGGCCCCCTTCCCCTGTCTCTCTCTCTCTCTCTGTGCTCGCGCACTGACCGAGACTTGCAGCGCGAAAAGGAAAGCCGCGTTTGTGCTCTTGACGAAGGAATCACCTGAACCACAGCACACCCACAGACAGAGAGAGAGGGGGCAGGAGCTCACACGCACTTTCCATCTCTCTCTCTCTCTCTGTGTGTGTGTGTATGCCGCCCGACCGAATGTGTAGAGCACTTGCTCGAGGAACGGGGAGCCGGTGTCGAGCAGCGCAAGAGTGAAGGGCACGCCGTACGCCATATTCAGGATCACATTGAACCTACGCACACAGACACACACAGAGAGAGATATGGGAGACCAGCTCCACTGTGTTGGTTTAATTACCACAGCAGGCAGTCCTTGACAGTGTCCAGAGAAGGGTCTCTGCAGGAGTGCAGCAAACAAAGCCCATCCCTCCGTGTGTGTGTGTGTTTTGTGTGCGTACTTTCCCCGCCATTTGTCGTAGTGTGGGAAGGCGAGGCACTGCAGCGACGATATCGCCCAGCCAATCTGACGACACACAAACACACCCACGCAGCAAATAGAGGAAGACACAGAGAGAGAGGGTGCATTTGAGCCGGCTCTCTCTCTCTCTCTCTCTCTGTGTGTGTGTGTGTGTGTGTTTGTTTGTTTTCTGACCCAGGTGATCCACCAATATATCCACCTCACGTAGAACGAGTCGCAAATGCTAACTCACACACACGCAGAGGGGGATGCATGTGCGTCCGTGTGTGTGCGTGTGCGGCTGTGATGTTACCCACCAGGCCCAGAAGGCCACAAGGCAATAAAAAGAGGTGATCATCGCTGGCAGCTGAGCACGCACACACAGAGGAGAGAGAGATTCACAAAAACAGTTCTGAGAGCAGTGCAACAATACCAAAGCAGTGCTCCTGGGAGTGTTGTAGAGCATCCTGCCTTCGATGTAGATCTGACACCAACCCGCCCACACACACATGCACGCACAGCCATCCATCCACACATCCATGTGGTGTGCACGTACCAGTGCGGGCACAGCGATCACCCACTCCATTATCCTCTGCACACAAACACACAAAGAGTCACCCACGCACCTCTCTCTCTCTCTCTCTCTGTGTGTGTGTGTGTGTGTGTGTGATGGGGCGAGGGGGAAGGCTACGTACCATTGCTGGGATCGGTCTTGGGTGTGGGTTGAGGGACATCACAAACACAGGAGTGGCCTCCAGCCTTTGTATGGGTGGCAACGCAACACACACAACACAGACGAACACGTCAGAGAAAGGCCGGCCGTGTGTCCGTGTGTGAGAGATAGTCATTCTGCTTACCACATGGCTATATAGGTGACTGTCAGCACAAACAGGATAAACAGCATCACACCTGCTCACACATCCATCGAAAAACACACACACATATCCACCCCTGCCTCTCTCTGTGTGTGCGTGTGTGGGAGCAGATCACACATACCGGCGCTCTTAAGCTTCCAGTGCATCCTCGACACCCACAGCGGCGACCGGAACAGGCCCTCCTCATCCCGATCCCTGTCAGAGGTGCCCTCGCTGCCACCGCCTCCACCTCCCTCCTGCTGCTGGTGCAGCTGCTGCAGCCGCGCCTTGAGAGTCGAGGCCCTCTCGTGTCTGTGCAGCTGGTAGAAGGCTATCACCACGAGGCCCAGCTCTATGAACAGGAGGTTGAACACACCTGAAGCGACATACACACACAGAGAGGGAGAGGCAGGAAGACGCCGTGAGTGCATTGCTTCTCTTTGCTATGCTGCTCACGCACCCCACGAGCCGACAGCAAAGATCTCGGTGAGCTCCTTGTCCTGCGCTTTGAACCGCGGATACTCATCCTGGTCGTAGAAAAAGAGATGAGCCGTCTGCACACACACACAGGCACAGAAAGAGAGAGAGAGAGAGTGAATCAAATCAATGAATGAATCAATGACTCATTCTCATCATTGCGTACGAGGAACAGGAAGAAAAGCGAGTACAGCAGGATCAGATCCAGGTCATTGCGGAGCATCGCTGCACCAATCATCTCACCACCATCACTCCACAAGGCTCACTGCGCCATTCTTGCGAGCTTGGGCACATCTCGCCAGCGAAGCTCAAGAAGGCTTCTGATTCTCTCTCTTCTTCCCGTGGTTATTGCTTGCTTGGCTTGGCGATGGGCGCTCATCCACTACGGAGATCTGTTGTCTTTGTCTTCCTGCTGCTGCTGCACGCAATCACAATCACATGGGCGTTCCTGCCGTCCTCTTCGGTGCTCAGACACAGACACAGGAGGCCATTGATGCAGCAACGACGGCAGCTTCCGGCAGCGACGATGATGATGATTGACCTATCAGCGGCAGCATCGGCGGCGTCGGCTGCGGCGGAGCATCTGCCGTCGTTTCTGCAGGCCATCACCGTCACTGACGAAGAGCAATTCCAAATACGGGTGAGCGTGTGAGTGAGAAGACACACACGTGCCTGGTGTGCATCTCCGTGTGTGTGTGTTGGGGTCATGCAGGCGATCGGCATCGCCTTCTCTGCCGTGACGGTCGGCGGCGGCACGGCCGCCTACTTCCTCAGACCCAAGAACACAGAGTGAGTCGCCAAGCGCCACACACACACAGACGGGAGGGAGATGCCGTGTTGCGATGTGTGCTGTCAGGATGAAGTTCGTTCTGTCCGACAGCGAGGCCGCGGCCGTGTCGCTCGTCAACGGCATCTATGACGCGTCGGAGGAGGACAAACGCATGACCGAACGGGTGCACACACAATGGATGGATGGATGGATGGATCGGCACGTACCTCTGGCTGGCTGGCTGGCTGGCTGTGTGTGTGTGTGTGTGTGCGCAGGGCTCGATAGGCCGGACGAGGCGTCAGTTGGAGGCCGACAGGATCGCCGAGGAATTCGCAGAGGGAAAGGACCCGAGGGAAGTCCGCGGCAAAACGGTATACATACATATCCCACCCACACACACACAGACAGACACACACACCTCTTGTTTCCTTCACTCTCCCCATTTCTATGTGGTATGGTGTGCAGATCACCTACAGCGAGGTTGACCTGAACTTCTTGGCTGTGCTTCTCAGGGCAGCCGAGCCGAAACAAGGTACAGCATCCACTGCCCCCCCCACCCCCCCACCTGCATCTGTCCGTGTGCAGGTGAGACCTTTGTCGACCTGGGAAGCGGCCTTGGGAGAGCCGTCCTGGTGAGGATGCATGGCACTCTCATCCACCCACCCACCCATCCATATATGTGTGTGTGTCTTGCATGTCTAAACAGGGTGCGGCAGCCCTCTATCCCTCGTTTCGCAAGTGCACGGGCATCGAGTACCTGCAAGGCAGGACCGACCTTGCTAAGGCAAGCCACGACAAGCACCATTACCACAGATCGACTTCTCTCCTTCCATCTCTCTCTCTCTCTCTCTGTGTGTGTGTGTGTGTGTGTGTGTGCAGACGTATGTGAGCCGATTTAGGTCATCTCCAGCTATCGAGCTCATGACCGACGATTTCGCGCTTCCAACGTCGGCGAAGACCGACCAGGCCATCCAGCAGGCCGACGTGCTGTTTGCGTACTCGCCCCGCTTCTCCGGCAAAGAGCTGCTATCGACTGTGGAAAAGGCCAAGAGTGGTGCGCGGATTCTCACTGTGGACAGGTACATAGGCAAATGGGTGCAGACACGCGCGCACACACATACAGAAGGAGACAGGCGCGAAGCCACATGTGATGATGCCTCTGTGTGTGTCGTTGTGCGTGGGTTTGTGTGTCGTTGTGTGCCTGCAGGAAGCTTGCTTCCGACGGTTTTGAGCTGATCAAGACCTTGGAGGATCCCTCGGGCGACCTCAACAGATACAGAGGGTACGTCTTCCGGCGACTCTAGGGGACACAGAGAGATGGCCGGCTGCAACCGGGTGCGTGTCGATAACTGGATGGCCAGACAGACAAGAGGGCTCATGTGGGTGGGGGGGCGGGCGGGCGGGTGTATTGTTCGTGTGCGACAATGGAGCGAATCAACGAAGCTCGTTGGTCAAGTGGATATGCACGATACGCAATATCCTAGGCAAGGCCCCTGTCGCCGTGAGTAGGAGTCGCAGTAGAGGTAATATGACTGGCAGGTCCACGCCATCAAAGCTTGTCACGTTGAGGAAGCACATGCATGTCTCAATCAATCTGACCTCTGCCTCACGCTCACACCACAAAGACATCTACTTCATCGGCCATGAAATCCCTGCTGCCCCCAAACAGAGCGTTGCCCTTACGTCTCACCCCAACATAGCCCTCAGGCACATCTTTCCTGTGGATGGACTGACGGCAGCGGCGCATGTCAGTACGAGCGCCACCCTCACAGCCCAACCACAGCCACCAGCCGACCCTCACCTTCGCCCCGCCCACTGTCCCCTCCCGCCCGGCCACACGCACTGGCAGCCAGCCCTCCCCCATTTTGGTAGGTCCCTTGGCGAAGTGGCCGGCGAGCGAGAAATACCAGACATCACACCAGTAGTACTTCTTCTTGTAGCCTGTTGGGTCGTCGGGCACTTGGATGTTGGCACTGATGAAGGCGCCGAAGACGTACTTGTCCTTGCGGATGAGGAACACCAGGTTCTTCGTGTCGCCCACACACCGCAGCAGATCGCCATACGACGGCCCATCATGCGAGGCCCTGAAAATAGGAGAAAGACGGGAGAGAGAGAGAGTCAAACGATGGACGATGTAGGACACCTGTAGATGAGCTTCAGGCTGTTTTCACTTGTCGCTCCGAGGAACCGATAGAGTGCCGCCGACTGGAGCGGAGCGAAAGCTGCACCCTCGACCACCTGCAATCAAATCAACAGAACACTGATGAGGCTCTCCCTCGCTGATGTGTGAGTGACCTTAAGTGAGAGCAGTGACCGGCCATCAAGACGAATGACTTCCACCTCGTCGGCCGTGAAGTACTCACCGCCCCCAAACACAGCCCGGCCACGCTTACTCCTCAGCCCCACATAGCCCTCAGGCACATCAAGGCTCCAGATGGAATGACCGCAGCTGCGCATATCATCAGCAGCGCCACACCCCAACCACAGGCACCCACCGAACCCACCGATCCCCAGCTTCGCCCCATCCACTGTCCCCCCCCGCCCCGCCACCCACACGCACTGCCTGCATTCCCACAACTTGGTCGGTCCCTTGGCGAAGTGGCCGGCCAGCGAGAAATGCCACATATCACACTCGTACCCGTCGACGCCCGTTGGCTTAGCGGGCGGCTGGATGCCGGCGCTGATGTAGACGCCGAAGACATAGATGTCCTTCCGGATGATGAACAACAGGCCGGTATTGTCGCCGACACAATGGAGGAGATCGGCATACGACGACCCATCACGTGAGGCCCTGAGAATACGACAAACACATGCTTGATCGATTGCACGGGCTTTCTGTGATGTGTGTCGTACCTGTACAGCAGAGTAAATCCCAACTCGTCAAACACGGATGGGACAAGCCAGGAGTGGAGGCCCGCACACTCAGCCTCACTCAAACTGCTGCCAACGATCATCTGCACGTAAACGCAGACGCTAGTCTTGAAGATTGCATGCATTCTTGTTTCTTATCTGGACGCAATCATGCCATGTGCAGACTCTCACTTGCGGGTCATGCAGTTTGTCATCCTCGTCTGTTGTGCTGCGAATTGAAACGGCCATGACATGACCAACCGCACCATCAGACACACTTATCATATCATCACCATCCTGATGGCACAGCACAGATGTGCAATAAGTGATGTGCTGCCGTCTTTGTCTGTGTCTGTCTGACCTCTGCTATGTCACTCAGGCTATCGTCGGCAGTCATTGTGAACACAGACTTGGCCGATGAACGGGACCACACCTGCACACACAAACTCACAATGCCTGACCGTCTGTGTGGGTGTCCATTTCACTGCCTTTTGCTGACCACAGACGGCGGGCCCTCTCGGTGGCTGCGTGTGGGGGTCCTTTGGATTTTGTTTGGCGGCCTCTCGTTGGTCAGTCGACTCTCTGACGGCGCCATCTGAACGACAACACATACAGCTCAAATAAGTTGCTGCTGCTGCTTTCGCCAACGTGTGAATGAGTCCTCTTGGTTTGGTTACGCTCATGGTGTTTTGCCCCGAGTGCTGCGACTGCTGGTCGAGCGGCCGATTGCGGGCAGCAGCAGCATCGTCGTCTAGTGGGCAGGTGGGGGTCTGCAGCCAGACAAGTCAAGACACGAAGGTGTTACTTGCTGCTGTGGTGTCAGCCCGCTGAGTGTCTTACCTGTCGGCTGAGGTCGGTCATCGGTCCGATGAAGCCATCTGCCACCTGGATGTCAGCAGCAGCAGCAGCAGCATCAGCTGAAGCTGCTTCCGACTGGTGAGTGAGGGGCCTGGGTAAGGGATGGGGATGCGGCGGACGCATTGGGAAAGGGGGATCGACAGCAGCAGCAGCTGCTGCAGCGGCAGGTGGCTCAGAGGACGGCAAAGGAATCTGAAAAAGGAGGCATAGACTGATGAAAAGTGGATCTCTCACTGCATTTGTTATCTTTGCCTGACCTGTTGGCATCGCTTCCTGAAGGTTTTGATCCACTTGTCGCTCGCCGAGAAGCCAGTGACGCCCAGCCGAATGGCGATCTCCATCGCCTTGGCTCTGATGGCCTTGGGGGGGACGCTCGTGGGGTCGTCATGGGTAGCCATCCACTGCCGCATGTCGTCCTCGATCTGCTGGTACTTGGGCGGCCTGTTGCGCTTCTTGTCTGAGTCGACGATTTGCTTGCCCTCCTCCCTCTGTTTTTTGGTGGCATAACACCACTGCCTGAAGCGCTTGGGTGGAATGCCTTTCTCCTTGGCGAACTGGGACATGTTGATGGACTCGCCGGATTGCTGTCGTCGAATGAACTCGTCCACCAGCTGCAGCCGCTCGCCGATTGCCACCTCGCCCGCCCTCTCTGTCGACATCTGGACAACCGTGAACAGCAGACATGTGAAGACATGTGAGTGAGCGCAGTTTCACCTGTTGTGAGGATCCTCCTGTCGTTCCTTTTGTTGATGTGGGCCGTGGTGGGAGCGACTCCGAGCGATCGTAATGGGAAGCAGCCGATGCACCCCCGCTTACCACCGGCTGACCCATAACCACCAGGCCATGATTCAAAAAGGGCCACTCAGCGTCATCTAATCGACAATCGGATCCTCGTCTGTGCGGTTCTCAGTGTGTCGTGTCGGTCCACTCACTGTGATGCGAGTCTGTCGTCAATCCACCACCGAGATCATTCGATTCCCATTCTGTCTGTGGCTGCACTGCGCACACAGACACACAGACACACAGCCAGGGAGGGTCAACAGACGTCAAACAGATGGCCGTGCAGCGACTGTGTTTGCGCACCTGATGATGAGCGTTTTCGTGATTCACCGTGACTGCAGCGGCGGCAGCCACCTGTGGGGAAAGGCCACCACGTGACATTGCTTGCCGGGTGTGCTCACCCCACTGACGCACGTACCTGTGTTTGACTGTAATGACGCTCATGATGCTCCTCGGCCGATGCGGTGGCCCACATCCAATCACCCTCAAGATCACCCTGCACACACATGAGAAGCAGACGAAAAATGAGCCAAAGCAGTGACGTGTTGCGGCACAGCACATTACCTGTGCGTCAGATCTGCCCAAATCACTCATCAGAATGCCCTCTTTTCGCCGGACGATGAGTTTTTTCACTCTCTCTTTCAGATCGCTGCAGCTCGCAAAAAGCGGAAGGAAGGGGGGGAAGAGGGGTGCTGGACGATCTGGTGTGGCTGTTGTGTTGTCTGTAGGTCACCTCCTCCGAGCGACAGTGGAGATCTGGCTGTGGTGATCTGGCTGCTTCTCCTGGCAATCTTGTGACGTCACGTTTTGAGACCACCACCCGGAGGGCACACACGATGGGTCAAACACGTGGTGCCTTCGTCTTTCTCAGTTTCGTCGGCAGATGAGCGTACACGATCGTGCCGAATTAGAGGACTCATCGATACTCTCGCCTCCGCTACCCATGGGTCCGGGCTCGCTCGTCGAGCCCGGACATCCCGTCGCTGCTGATCCTGCCTGTCCTGCCTGTCCTGATCTGAGCCTGCCTGTACCGAGTCAAATGGGAGAGAGCCATCCGCCCTCACGAGCCCGACAGCGCGACGTGCGCGCGGGGGAGACCGGTGGGCGGGTGTGTCACGAAGGACACGGGTGGGTGCGCGAAAAAGCGTCGCCCGTCGAACAGCGTCCGCGACGTGACTGTCGCGAGTCGCGACCGAAAACCGGCCAAGAAACATCGAGCTCGCAAGCGCGCCCGTGTGTCTGTGAGCGCGTCGCTGCGGCTGCGAGTACGTACGCCACCGCACGCAGGCGTGCTCAGGCTGCCATACTCTCGCCTCCGCTACCCATGGGTCCGGGCTCGCTCGTCGAGCCCGGACATCCCGTCGCTGCTGATCCTGCCTGTCCTGCCTGTCCTGATCTGAGCCTGCCTGTACCGAGTCAAATGGGAGAGAGCCATCCGGCCTCACGAGCCCGACAGCGCGACGTGCGCGCTCCCAAATGCCAACAGTAAACCGGTACAGGGCAGGCGAAGGCTGCATCACGGTGACGAAGCGAGGGAGGAGAGCTGAGTCACCGTATGCCTCAGAATCATCCTCTGTCCGTCTGTCTGTCTGTCTGTCTGTCTTTCCGTCTATGTCTTCGATGTCTCGTGCTGCCGGCGCTTTGCTTGGCGCTTTATCGTTACTGGTTCACCGGACCCGATCAGGCCGCCCCAGAGACATCACGTGATGGCCATGGCACGGGCGCCTGCGTGTGAACGGAGTAGTTTCTTAACACTCCGTTTCATCGTACATCGTTGCGGTAGGTAATGGGAACACGATGCTGGTGCTTTTATTCGCTCCTCTTTTCCGCGTCCCCTGTGATGTGGCTCGTGATCGATTTGCGCTTCTATGCTTGTCGACAGCTCTGTGTTTCGCTATGCGACGTGCGGTTCCCTGGTCTGATCGGCGGCGGTTGGTCTTTTTGATGAGTCCCTCGACAAGCGCTGTGACCGCTACATATGTCTCCTCTCTATCCGTCTCAACATCTCAATCTGGCCGTCTCATGTCGCCGGTCCGTTGATACTGGGCTCTGGTGAGCGTATCGACAGGAAAAAGGAATGTGGTGTCTTGTGATGGTCGTAGGTGTGGAAAGCCGGACGCCCGCCATCGACAAACGCCTATATCCCTCTTCCCGAGGCCTCTGCGAGCCTTGTCGTGTGTCGTTGTTTGTCTGTCTTCTGTGTGCAGGCCGGTATCGCCCGTCCATCGTTTTCTCTATCATGTCTTCCGCCTCCTTATCGAAGGCCTCCTTCTGCGTTTTCTTCGCGCATCGCCGTGTCTCCGCGCGTTGAGCCGTTGCTGCCCGCCTTTGACCGCCTC